CGCGACCGCGCAGCCGCCGGTCCCCGCCGCCTCGCGCCTCGCTCTGCGCATCCTCCAGCCGGCGCAACGCCTACCCTTCCTCCTAGCATCCTCGTGTCCCTGCTCCGACTCTCTTCTAGCGGCTTCCCTTCCTCCGGCCTTTCTTCCAGTCTCCCCATCCTCTGCCTCCCTCCACGAGTCTCCCCCCACACACAGATTTGGCCCTTCTGGCCCCTTGCTTCTGTGTGGTCCGCGGACCTGCAGCACGGCATCCCCAGAAAGCTCGCTGGCATCACCAATCCCAGGCCTCACTGCAGACCCCTGAATCAGGATATGCATTTTACCAACATCCCCAGGAGACCTCAGTGCACATCCAAATTTAAGAAGTGCTCCCTGGAGGGTGTACCTTGGACACACCTTGCCAGAATTGCTGCCTCTCCCATTATTTTGTTCCAGCACTTTTTACTTTATATAAAGCTATATCCGTTATTTCTTGGGGCATCACAGAAGTAAGTTGAAATAGCAGGATCCCCACTCTCCAGAGAGGTAAACTGAGATGCTTAGAGCCAGAGCGGAAACTAGAACCCAGCTCTTGGGCTAGATTCAGTCCTTCCTCCCGGACTTTTGAACTGTGTCATCAATAGAAACTGCTAGTGCCCTCGCATAACCTAACCCCTTCAAAACTAGGCAGCTGGTTTACCCTGTTTCCTGGCAGCAGGCCGCACAGACCTTGGCAGGACCACACCATGCTTGATGACCGCCCCAAATTCTTCATTTTCTCAAACCCATTCCTGCTGCTTGCAATTCACTGTCGCTTGTTTACTCAGCCATTTATCCACACCACACACTTAGAATATGCTAGGTCCTGGAGTTCTTTTGATGATTTTGGAGTGATAACTGCTAAACTGTTTTCTGTTAGAAAACATGGACAATTCCTTTCACGCTGACATTGCAGAGCCAGTGTTTTAGCCTGCTTTTTCTATTTCTTTTTATTTAATTGCATAAACAAAGAAAATTATTATGGAGGCAGAAGAGCAAAGAGGTTCCAAAAATGGCCAGACTCTGTGGAGTGACGTATTAGTAACCTCTGTGAAGGCAAGGAAGGTTAGGTAAGATGCCAGAGGTGAGGCTCAATAGGGTTTGATGCGATAAATGGCGTGAATGAATATGCATAAGATTATGAAATACAAATATTCAAAAAAGAAACTAGTGATCTCAATCTCTTTTGAACCACGGGAGATGGGAGATGGGGTTGAAATAGTAAAAAGTGCTATGTGACCCAGAGGTCAGGTGTTTGCCTTTGTGTATCAGGTGACACCGATGGTGAATTATCCAGCTGAAGTTTAAACATGTTTAGCCTGACAGGTGAATCAGATGTAATTCATGAAAAGCTTGGGCCTCACTAGGTTTCCCGATACACCAGTTCTTACAAGAAGTAGATCCGATTTATTGTTTGAAAAAAGATGAACTGTAATTACTGAAGAAAATCAAAACAGATTTCTTCCCCCCAAAAATAGCTTTGCAATGTGTAACATTTTAAAATATAAAAAAGCCAACTGAAAAATCTAACATGTAATTCTTTAAAAAGAAAAAAAGAAAGAAAAACTCATTCTTAAAAATTGCAGTTCCTTTCTTTTCTTTTTGTTCCTGTTCACCAGGAAAGATATGGTAAGTTATAAATGGACCGACATTTAGCAAAAATCAATCTATCAATAAAGCAAGCATTAGGCTTCTGATTTCAATACGGAGTCTCTGGTTTTAGAATCTAAGCTGTTATCTTTCACTTTTTTTATTCCTTTAATTTTAATTACGATAATTAACAGTGATGGTGCCAGAAAGAAGGCCAGTGGAAACCAGGTCATTCTTGCAGTAAATTGGCCTGATAAAACCATGTGGGCTTTTTTTTTTTTTGTAAGCGATGTTGGAGGGTGGTGTTGGAAGTGGGTTTGCAACCACAGCCTAAAATGAGGCTTGCAGGTAACCTGTAGATTTCAACTATTCAGAACCTGGGGTTCATGCACTCAAAGGGGACCACAGATGGGCTTCCAGGGTGGTGTGAGGACCTTATGAAAGTGCTGGAACATTTGATGAATGGGTTTTTTTCTAGGGAGAATCCCCATAGTTGTCATCAATCACTCAGTCTGCATGCCTCGTGAGGGCCTTGGAAACTACTCTGCTTCTCAACTCCCTGCTGTCTTGGCTCTTCCTTTCACGAGGTTCTCTCACATTCACTTAAATTACCTTTGGGGATTTTCTTATTTTCTTTGTGTTTTTTTTTTCTTTTTAGATTTTTTTTTAAGTAATCTCTACATCCAACGTGGCGCTTGAACTCACAATCCCAAGATCAAGAGTCGCATGCTCCACCAACTGAGCCAGCCGGGTGCCCCTCTTTGTGTTTTCTTGTAAGATTTGAGCCCTGGAGGGAGACCTGTTCCCACTCTCAGGACATACTCCCCTCTGTTACATCCCAGGTTTTGCAGAGACCCTCTGCTCCCCAGTGATGTGAATTCACTGAGCAGCCAATCAATATTGTGGTTTTCTCCATAGTGCACATTTTCTGGGGAAGCACTTTCCCTGAACATTCAGAGACTGCTGGCTGGACAAGAGCCGGCTATTCAAACAAGAACTTGGAGATGCACCTGAGTTTCATTTCATTTTCATTTTTTAAAGAAAGACAGCACTTTTACTTTCTCTTCTCATCAAAACCATTTCTCTAAGATAACTTTTTTTCTGTTATAAAAACTCCCCCAAATCAGTGCTATATTACAGTATCTAACCAGTAACAGACTTACCCATTCTTCTGACTGCCTGGTATATGTGATTTCTTTCTTTCTTTTTTTTTACTTTTGGTTGCCATATGACCCCACTATATTCCAATCTGTTATATACCCAAGAGAGTTGAAAACATATGTTCATACAAAAACTTGTACATGAATATTTATATTATTCATAATAGCCAAAAAGTGAAAGCAACCCAAATGTCTATCAACTGATGAACAGATAAACAAAATGTGGTATAGCCATACATTGGTGTATATTATTCACCCATTAAAGCAATGAAGTACTGATACATGCTACAACATGGAGGAGCCTTGAAAACATTGTGGTAAGTGAAAGAAGCCAGTCACCAAGGACCACATATTGTATGATTCCATTTATAAAATGTCCAGAATAGGCAAATCCATAGACAGAAATCCATAGACAGAAAGTAAATCAGTGGTTGCTAGGAGGTAGGAAGAGGGGAGAAGTTGTAGTGACTGTAGATGAGGAGTTTCTTTTTGTAACGATGGAGATGTTCTGGAATTAGAGAGTGGTGATGTTTGCATACCATTGGGAACATACCAAAAAAAAAAAAAAAAAAACCCGCCAAACTGCACACTTTAAAATGGTTGAAATGGTGAATTTCAAGTTTTGAAAAAAACTGAGGTGGTGAAAGAAGATAAAGATCTCAGAATATTCCTGTGATATTTTGGGAATACAAAATTTGGGGTGCATTCAGATGGGATCTTCTGAATGCTTTAGGACCTAGTTTTTAAATTCTTCAAACGTAAGGATCTTCTCTGCAGTCTGCAATCCACAAACTCTGTGAATTGCAGGACTCCCAGGCCCCTGTAATACCCACCTCATGCCCACCAGGAGTCTGTGGTCCACAGTTCAGAGCCCTTGTTCTGGCAAGATTATGTCAATAAGCAGACTCCCCCGACTCTCCCCCAGACATAAGGTATGTGTTGTGTGACCGTACGGTGCTGTTGTTCTGTGTTAAGTATATAAAAAAGGTAAACCAATTCTATCAATTTATTTTTGTCTCTATGAATCCACCCAACACGATGTCATCTCCTCAGCTCACCATGTCGGGCACCCGTCATACATTTAAGTAGGCAAATAACCAGGACAACTGCTGAAACAATGGAATCCTCTTGATTTTACTGGTTAGAGCTGAGCTGCCAAAGGTACTGGGTTTTCATATACAGTAACAGCCAACTTGTTGGGATCAGACTTCCAGCGACATCAACTTCTGAACATCTCTGAACCCAGGGGGATGTGGGGAAAAAAGCAGGAGGCTCAGAGCCTCCCGAAAACAGCGTACCAAAAGCCCATGCACCCCTCCTCAGAAGCAAAGCACACCTGACACATAGGTCATACTTGGTTCCCTGGCTTCTCCAAGAAAACTTCCTTCTGCCCCGGAGGTTTCCATCAGAGAGCAGGAGGTGAAGAGCAGAAGACTCAGAAAGCAGGTTAGGAGGAGGGTGCTGGATTGGCAAGAGGTTACAACCCCAGACACAGATAGCTCCCCCACCTTGTACAGGAACACATTTTGGATTGTGTGCACGAGATAAAGAACAGGTAAAGCTATTTTAAAAGTATAGCCAGGGGTCATATAGTATGGGAGTAAAAAGTCCCAAACACCACAAATGCCCCAGATGGCTTCACTAATAGAGCAGGAAGCAGTAAAATTCATCAGTGAGAACAGCACAATAGTCTGTGAAAGGCAAAGCCAAGCCCTATGTATTTTGATAGCTCCTGATGACATCACTGCACCACACTAAGGTACAAAAGGGGCTGATGTTTATAATGATGACCATGACTCATCAAGAAAAGGTTAAATACTCTCCAGTACACTGTTTACTAAGGCAGGGAAGTGCGTAATGCATTTTAGAAAGATTTCCCTCAAAAAAATATTAAAATTTTAAAGATTCAGCACTTAAAGGGTTAATCCTCCGTTATCCGAATATTTACTTACATACCTCATTTTACAACAATGCTAGTAAATGAGGCATTACATTTTTTTTTATAATCATTAGTATCAAATTATTGGCACCATTCAGTTTTAAGGATAGGGACAGGAGAGCAAACTATACAATACAACATAAAAATACAGTTCTGATACAAATATACGAGATCAATTCCACTTAACAAGTGGTCATAAGAAATGGATGGACATTCTACGTACAAGGAAATACAGCTAGTAAATCATCACATGGAAAAGTGCTCAGCCTTGCTAGCAATTAATGAAATAAAACAACCTTTCAAGAACAACTATACACACCTATTAAACTAGCAAAAATAAATTAAAATGGCAAAACCCAATACTGGCAGAACTACTGGTACGTAGAAATGCTTATACATTGCTGGTGGCATCATAAATTGTAGAGGGATTCAAGCATTCAGAGGGAATAGAGGAATTGAACTAATGACCTGTAAGGTCCTTCCAACCCAGAGACTGGATCTTTCTAGAAAGCAGTCTGGCAATATGAAACAAGAGCTATAAAATATTTCATGCTCTTTGACCTTGTAATCCCTCTTTGGAGATATTCCCAAGGGAAGAATCCAAAGGAAGGAGAATTTTTTTTACAAAGACATTCATAGCAGCACTATTTTTAAGAGTGAAAAATTGGATATAACTCAAATACCTAATAATAGGGAGAAGTGAGGTTAACCATGTTACATGGATACACAGACATTTAAATTGGTGAGAGCAGGATCTGTGTTGGAAAGGGAAGATATGTGTGAGGTGGAGAAGTACAACCAAAGAGTATGTACACACCGATCACAGCTATGAAAAATGTGTGCATATTCATTGAGAGCTCGGGTAACAATTTAGAGGGCTAGTCTGTGCTGAGGCGGTGCCTTTATTCCTGCAAAGTTGTTTAAGTGCATAATAAAAATTTAAAAACACATTTCTTGAAACTATATAAAAAGAGAACAAAGTGTCATCTGGTCAAGGTTCTATCAACAGGACAAGAATTAATCAACTTTAGAAATAATTTTCCTTTATGGAACACCCAAATGAATCTTGATATTGAATCATTTTACCCTCGTAAGGATTTTTAGACAATTGAAGCTATAATTTCCTACTTCGGGTTCAGTGAAAAATTCTGTTTATCCCAAATAATATCATATCCAATGAATCCACAATTTAAATTGTATTTCAGATTTCGCTGAAGGACTTCAATCCTTTCTTGTGTTACTTCACCGATTCATGTCTGAATAAAAATGAGTGTTAAGGACTTTATAAGATCTGTATAATTACCAGTGTCAATGAAAAAACCAGCAGTAAAGAATTATTCTCTCATTAAAAATGACTCTTTAACAAACAGTCGAAGCTTGGTGCAAGTTTCAATCATACAAAATCATGGTTGAGACTGATAGCAAAGGATTCCATGCCATATTAACCCCTGTGGTTATTAATATAGACACACAGGTAGTACTAAAAAGGGAATCCCATTTCCACATCTTTCTTCTCCTAGGCTTCCCAAATCCCACCCCAACTATACTGAGTAGCAGAAAAACTCTACTACTCAGGAGACAGAAAATAACTTCTCCCATAAAAGTCAAGCCAGAAGTTGGCTTCAACCAACCACCGAGACCTGGGTGAACAGAGCACACATCTGTGTGTTGTGCCGGAGTGAGCACACGAAGCCCGAAGAAAGAAAACGGACAGAAGGCACCATGCCGTCCTCCAGGCAACAAGGGGAGAATTTCACAGTTCGGTCATCAACAGTCTTTTCATCATTTTCTCTCTCTCCAGTTCCTGCCGGAGCGTCTCTGCACTAAAGAAAAGTAGGTGACAAAATAATGAGATTCCACTAAAAAAATGACAAGAACGGTGTCATTCCCCCTGCCCCCCACCCCGGGTCTTCTTTCCTGACCTTGGTTCTTGACTTTCCCTTTCAGGCTCCTTAAGGATCCCCGACATTTGCTAGCATTACAATGACCTGAAATTGTCTGGCTGCCTACTGGGTCCCCCACCAGACTGAGAGTTCCTCAGGGCACTGCTCCCCAGAGGACTGACCATATAGGTCATTCATCTCTGAAGCCCCAGAGCCAAGCATAGGGACTGGTACATAGCTGCGTCTCAGTAAAGGTCTTCTGAATGAGCGGGAAGATGTCCAGGGGTTAGATTTCTTTCAATCATGCTCTAAATTGGTTTCAAATGCACTTTCTCCCAGAGTCCTCTCTTCCCCATATTTTATTTTATTTTTTAAAAAGATTTACTTATTTATTTGAGAGACAGAGCATAAGCGGGGGGGGGGGGGGGGGGGGGAGGGAGAAGGAGAAGCAGACTCCCAGCTGAGCAGGGAGCCCGATGCAGGGTTCCATCCCAGGACCCTGGATCACGACCTGAGCCAAAGGCAGACGCTTAACCGCTTAACCAACTGAGCCACCCAGGTGCTCCTCCCCCAGATTTTAATAAACAAACTGCATGAAATAAAATTGGCTGCTTTGAGGGGTTGCCTCTGACTTCTTGGCCTCAGGCCCCATTGCCTAACTATGGGATCTCTCTCCATTGTTTATGTACATGCATGTATGCACACACACGTGAGCACATGCACACACACACACACAAGAAGTATACATCTAAAGCACAATCCAAGTTTTTAAATAATCTCATACAGGGTAGAAATCTCTTTCTACTGTGACCAACAAGTAAAATCTGGCCCCAACCTCCAACCTCATGGGGCTCTTGCCCTGTCATTCATTCCACTCTGGCTACACTAGCCCTCTTACTCCTCCTTAACCATTCCCAGCATGCTCCATCTCAGAGGTCTTACCACTGGCTGTTCCTGAGTATACCCCTTCCCCAAATACCTGCAGCCTGCTCCCTCCCCACCTCAGGTCTCTGCTTACAAGCCACCTCAATGAGGCCATCCCAGCATGCCCTATACTCTTCTTGGTTTCATTTTGCTCCCTAGCTTGTCACCGTCTCTCTCTCTCTCTCCCTCATTCTCTCTCCCTTCTCTCTCACACACACAGACACACACACATTTATTTAATGTCTGTCTCCTCTCCCCCAACACTAAATTGTAAACTCCATGAAGGTAGGATTTCTGTTTTATTTACTGTATATCCCTAGGGCCTAGAATACTCTCCAGGCTTTGTTAGACACTTCAATAAATATGTACAGAATAAATGAATGAAAGAATAAATAGGCATATAGATGTCACAGACACAATGAAACTGGAACCTGTTTTCCCTGTCACCACAGTCCCCTGCCTGTACCTGCTGCCCTCACTCACCTGGCTGCCAGAGAAACAGGTTTCCGAGTGGTGTAGATGGTCTGCACTGTGGAGATGGTCTCTGTCAAAGGCCTCAGGGTCACTGCTGGAATCAGTGGGGAAGACTGGCCAGGACAGCATGGCAATTTACTGTCTCTAAAGTCCGCCTGGAGAGGAAACAGAAAAGAGGAAATCAATCTCAATTGGGGTTCCATTTTCACACTGTCAGGGACTCCCTAAGCCTTACCATACAGTTCCTGTTATTTTTTAATAATAGCTTAAATCAATTACCACTTATTAAATGATTTTATTTTGTGCCAGGCACTATGCTAAGCACTTTACATATATCACCTCTTGACAATCCTTAAGGTAGAGGTCATATTTCATCACGTTCGACACCATCCATTATAAGAGCCACCATTTTTGCATGTGCCACAGAGAAAGAAAAATGTGGCCGTTCAAACTTTGTCACATCCACTCATGTAATGAATGTTCTGATTTCAGAGATTTATTTTTTTTTAATTTTTTAAAAAGATTTTATTTATTTATTTGACAGAGAGAGAGAGAGAGTGAGCACAAGTAGGCGGAGTGGTAGGCAGAGGGAGAGAGAGAAGCAGGCTCCCCGCTGAGCAAGGAGCCTGATGTGGGGCTCGATCCCAGGACCCTGGGATCATGACCTGAGCCGGAGGCAGATGCTTAATGGTCTGAGCCACCCAGGCGCCCCTGATTTCAGAGATGGGAAAGGTGAAAAAAATGCATCTCTTAGAGCTGATTTTATGAAAAAGAAAAGTAGGGCTCAGAGAGGTTAAGTAATTTTGCCAAGGTCACACAGTAAGTGTTAACCAGTATTTAGGACCAGGATTAGCTGACCCCATGCTTGGCGTTTTTCACCACTATCTCAGTGCTTCCCAAAGTACGGTCCCCAGGTCCGTATTATCTTGAAACTTGGTAAAATTACTGCCCTCGAGCCACTCTTGCCCAGTTCTTAAAAGTCCCAGCGTGGTTTCTGACATTGGCTTCCCGCTCCATCTTGGCCCCCAGCTTTTCAGGAAGGGCTTCCCTGGGTGTCTCACAGCACAGCCAAGCCTGGGCAGGAGGCCAGAGGGCCTGCCACGGACCAGCTGAGGGAAGTGGAACCAGAGCTCCCAGCTGGGGAGCCGTGCCCAGGGAAACTGCAGGGGCAGGATGAATGCAGGGGAGTAGCATTTAACAGCCTGGCCCAGCCCCTGTGTCTCTGCCTTCTGGGTCTCTTCCAAGGGAGGTGCTAGAAGCAGCTCATGACCTTAGAAATGCATTATTCTAGGAACCTGCTTTGCGCCTCTGCCTGGACTGCTGGACACCTTCCTACCTCTGTTCAACCTCTGAAAGCTGCACCAGCCGCTGCTCGCTCCCTCTCTGTCCGTGCGGCTAAAGCCACCTCAGGTAGTGACCATCATCCAGCTCACAAGATTGCACTTTTGGTTACCCCTAGGCCCCCCACAGCCCACCTCACAGATCCTCCAGACTGGCCAGGAAGCCTCCGGAAGGAGCCTCGGGGATCACTCAGTTCTAGGAATTACAAACTCTGATCCCTAGGAGGAGGAGAGGGTGAGGGGAAAGAGGAGGTGACCCCAGACTCCCCACTTCTGCTCCCTGCAGCCACTCAAACAGTGAGTTATGCAGAAGCCTTCATTGAAAGGAAAGACTTGCAGCTGAAAGAAGCCTGAACATCATCGAACTTGCCCATTTTGCAGATGAGGAAACTACAGCATTTAAATGTTTAATATTTAGACAATTTGCAGAGCTTCAATCGGCTGCCCGGTACACAAAGGGAGGTGGGGACATGAAACGAGTTGTCATGACTCCCTGCTCTCATTAATTACACCCCCTGCCTCTCTGGCCTTGAGAAACAACCACCATACTTGACACTTCTGGGACATTCTGTGGTTGGTCAAGTTCTGCCAACTTCTTGATCCCTTTTGATCCTCGCCTTAACCGGATACAAGGAGGATATTCATGTTACTATTTCCATTCAAATAAGAGGAGACTGGCGCCAGGACTGGCGAAGTGACTACCTAAGATCACACCATCATCAAGATATACATCCAACCCCAAAGAATTGGAGACAGGAACTCAAACAAATACATGTACACACATGTTCACGGCGGCATTTTTCACAACAGCCAAAAGGTAGAAACAACCCAAAGACCCACCAGTGAATGAACAGATCGACAAACTGGGGTACACATATGCAATGGAATATTATTCCACATAAAAAGAATGAAGTACTGATACATCCTACCACGTACATGAGCCTCAAAAACATGATACTCAGTGAAAGAAGACAAGCACAAAAGGTCATATATTCTATGATTCCACTTATCTGAAATATTCACACTAGGGAAATCCACAGAGACAGAAGGCAGATTCGTGGGTGCCAGGGGCTGGGGGGGGGAATAAGGAGTGACTGCTTCATGGGAACGAGGTTTCCTTTGTGGGTGATAAAAATGTTTTGGAACTAGAGATAGTAGTTGCATGACTAAATTTAGTGTCACTTTAGAACGATTCATTTTATCTCTCGTGATGCTCACCTCAATAAAATAAAGTCACGAAAAGATGCAGGCCCCAAACCCTAACTCCTTCCCAACCTCACAGAGTTCATATGATTAAAAAAAGCCGCCGAGGCACCAGCGTGGCTCCGTCAGATGAGCGTCTGACTCTTGATGCCGACTTAGGTCATGATCTCGGGGTCCTGGGATCGAGCTCTGTGTTGGGCACCAGGTTCAGGGGAGAGTCTGCTTGAGATTCTGCCTCTCCCCCCACCTCTAGCTCTCACTGTCTCTCAAAGTAAATAAATCTTTTTAAAAGGATTTTCTTCATTTATTTGAGAGAGAGAGAGAGCGCACACAAGCGGGTGTGGGAAGGAAGAGGGAGAGGGAGAAGCAGGCTCTCTGCTGAGCAGGGAGCCCGATGCGGGACTCGATCCCAGGACCCTGGGATCATGACCTGAGCCGAAGGCAGACACTTAACCGAATGAGCCACCCAGGAGCCCCTCAAAATAAATAAATCTTTAAAAAAAAAAAAAAGAAGAAGAAGCTGCTGACATTGCCGTCTCTGGCATGCCACAGAAAAGCATGCCACACGGGGAACAACATTTTAAAACACAGACCTGTTTTCTGAATCTACTTACAGTGAACTGTGGCCCTGAATTGAAAGCATCAGGAAATGGGGTCACTGGATCAACCGGGAATGTTTTTATCTTCAAAAAAGAGAAAGACAAGAGGGTTACTTTCAGATTAGAAAACAAAGGTTTGAGATCTTTGGCAGTGTACTTTTAAAACCGAACTGAAGGGCTCAGGGGAATAGGGGCAGAGCCCTCACTGTCTGTAGAGGGAAACGTGCAGAAGGTCCCTGAGGCCTCTTGGCCAGTGGTCATACCTGTGCCAATCCTTGTGCCGTAGGGCCGGGACCCTGCAGGGATGACCGGCGGCGGTCCCGTGTTTGTAGGGCACCCCGTGCTTACCTGGCCCTGGAACTCCTTTCCCCGGAGGCTGTGTGGGCCTCCTAGGCATGCTGGGCCCTATGCATGGCCTGATCCACGCAAGGCCATGATCAGGGTGTGTAATGAGGCAGGCCAGAGCTGCCTGGGTGACCACTGCTGGGGGGCATGGACTAGAGGCTGCTGACAGCCCACATCCTGGGACACAGTCTATGACGGTGGACAGAGTACCAGGAGGCTCGCACTAATTCGGCCAGAAAGCGTTTCCTGTCTATTCCCTTTAGTTGTTGGACTCCCTGTTTCCCTGTAAGTCGTGGGACACGGGGGCAAACCTTGGGCAAGCCCCTGTAAGCATGTGAGAATCCTGCCACCGTGGCCTTGGGGATACAAGGCACTGTGATCAGAAGTGTCCTGTGCCGCGGGTGGCTGCAGTACAGGGCTGGTCTGAAGCAGCGGGGGTGAATGGCCTGATCAGATCGGGGGGGGGGGG